GATTCATTTAGGGTGTCATGTAGGGTCTTACTCTTCCCAGAGCTCACTTCCCTGAGGTAGAGCCAAGCTCTCAAAAATTGTCAGCACATAACACTCATAACATTCCCCTCATAACACGTCTGCATAAATATTCCAGAAAGCTCAGCACATGATGTGCTAAGATTCAAGAGCTGAGGTGACATATTTTGTCACCAGGAGGACAGCCTCCACTCTCTCCTCACCCCCCTCCTAGATTTCCACAGCACTTTCCTCCTCACAGACCTCGCCAGATACATCTAAACCCTTTTCCCGAACAAAATTTTCCACTGAAGCAACAGCTCCTGGCTTGGCTAGGGTGTATGTTCTTCCATTCAGGGTACCCATCTTGTCCAGCCCTTGACACAGCTCTGGAAAAAATGCAACTGCTGGGTGCTGAGTAGTTCTGAACCTGTGAGTGAACCTAAAGCTTTTGTAACCACATGCTCACGGCAGATACTGTAACCATGGCCGTGCACTTAGAGCCTACGTTTCTCTGATGGTCCTGCCTTTCTCAAATGCGTTTGTGAAGTTTGCACCATTCCTTAAGTCTTCCTCATAGGAAATGCTGAAGTATTTCCAGCAGTAGCAAGGGAAAAGATTTCATGCCTTTGTTCACGGTTCCGTCATGCTTGTGATACACCTAGTATGGTAGCTGCCTCATTTTGTGGCAAAAAATCAGTAAAAGAGATGCTCAGAAGAAATATCTGCACAGGAAATATGCAGGGTTGTTGATTTAGTTTGTTACACACACACACACACCCCCTTGCAAATTTCTCCGATTGAAGCATTTCTGGTAGCAAGGTGTGGGTTTGTGGTTTTTAAAGATTTTTTTATATTCTCCCTTTTACTGATAGTTTAAATGTGGTTTTATTCCAACTTGTACGTGTGCTTTTATATAAGCTCAAGCATCTACATAAAATAAGCTCAGTATCTGTAAATTATTAATGATGATAAATGCTGAGAAGGAACAGCGGTTCATTTGGCTGTAAAAGAAAGTGTAGTAGTTTCTGAATGATTGTGCTTTAAAAACCTACTCTAAGGAATAGAGATTTGCAGATCTAATTAAAAAAGGAACAAAAAACCCCCACCAAATCGGCTGAAACTGCCCTACTGTGCTATAACCTAGGAGAAGGCAGGCTCGGAGGTAACCAGATGAATGTTGAGCAACAGAATTTTCACCCCTGAACAAAGAGGAGAGGGTAGAACTGATTCACGTAAAATTGTAGACACTGAGACAATGCATTGGGATAGGTTGAGATAGTTTCATACTGAGAGCAGTGGTCTACAAAGTATGGTGCAGGAAGAACATTTGTTGTGCACTTAAAATAAATATTTTTTAAATAGTGGGATTTTTTCCTCTTTATCTCATCCTTTAAAATTTTTTTTGGTGTATGTTTTATAATGTACATAATATATTAGTACAGTAGTACATGTATATAATTTTTAAAAATACATATAATAGGGGTGCATGCTCAAAAATGTTTTCACTGATGGGGTGCATGATAAAAAGGTTTGGAAACCACTGACTTAGAGGACAAGTGGGTATCATTAAAGCAAACCTGTGCTATTCATGATATTTGGAAGAAGCACATCTAGAAGGTCTTCCCTCTGTGAAAACTATTAATTAGGGTAGAGTTTTCTTAGCCTGCCATGTTCTGTGCCACAGACGGAAAAAATAAAGAAAGAAGAAATAAAACCAGGGAGACTGGTTTTATACAAGAGGTCTGAGGGGAATCCATGGGATTTTCTGCTCATTCTGGCTGTGTGAAATGCTCATAGATGGTGCCTAAAACACAAAAACTAAACCTGCCTGTTTTATTATTACGAAGTGTTTTATTATTTGTTGGGAGAGGTAATATCTTGTAGTCAATTAACTAGTGATATTAGAAGAATATTGGATTTTTAAACACCTTTTTCAGGTCTACTCCTGAAGCGAATGTGGTATATGAAGAAGGTTTATTTCATTTCTCATCCTGTATCAGCTTTATTTAATACGGATGGTATGCTGCCTCCTACAAATGCTCACTTATTTCCTTAGACTGTGAGAGCTACAAAGACACAAATTTTGTATGACAGAAATTTTTTGCAGCATGCTAGGGTGTGGGGTTTTTTGTTCATTTTGTTTGCAAATGTTGATATTAAACTCTCAGCGCCTGAGAACTTCTGTTAGAGGTGCTAATGCACATGGTCCAGGTCTGCTACTGGAGAAACTTCACTTTTGCAAGGAGCAGAAGCAACGTTTAAGCCATTAGTGTTAGTCCCTTTGTGCTTGCAAACTGTCACAGTTTCTGCACAGTAAAATAAACTTTTACTTTGAAAACCTTCCCGAAAGATACTGTTCTGTAACTAAACTGATCAACCCAGTGTTTCTGCTGAGGCACATTGAGGAGGTGTGAAAGGGAGAGAAAACTAAATAAGATGGGTGTTAGCAATGAATGACTGTGTGTTTATAACGTTTTTATTGGGTCACTCATTATTCGGAGGAGTGATTTTCCAGAAAAAGAAATATCCAGGTGAAATCTGTAGAGAATATTTGAAATTAAATAAATAAAATGAAAACATATCTCTTCCCTCTGGGTGTTTTCGGGCAGCTGCACATATCATATTGATCAGGTCAGATCATGAAGAAGAAGAGGCCACTGTAGTCTAATTCAATAATGGAAGTAACAATGGCTGCAAAATTTTCCAGAATTGATTCACATTTTTATGAGATTAGATCTTTTAGGAGAAAAACCTATAGACTTGCCAGTGTTAGATAATTCACTATGACTTAAATGGTTCCAATTCTGCTTATCCCATGATTTAGAATACAGAGAGGTTTTGTTGGATTTTTTTTCTTTTAACATTTTCTAGTTTTGCCAGGTATACTAGAAAAACTATTCCTGATTTTTTTGTTCCTTATTGCCATTACATGTAATTTGTGGTCTTGCAACTCCTTAGCTCTCTCGTCAGTAAATCAAATTCACTGACCTTCTGTGATATATTTTACTGAGAGAGGTTTTTCTTATTACTCAGTGATTTTCATGTCCCTTTTCAGGTTTCTCTCCACTTTACCAACATGTCAAAACAAGACACAGTGTTTCAGCAGCCAGCAGCAACTCCAGATGTGATACAACTTCTTTCCTTCTTGTGATTTCTCTGTTTATACATCAGAGGTTGCAGGAAAGTTGTTTTTTTTGGCCACAGCACCATCTTGGCAGTCGGTAACCCACTGTGACCCATTTGTCTTTTTCATGTTATGCTTCCCAGGATAAAGTTTTATGTCGAGTAAGTATAGCCTCCACTCTTTGCTCTTACATGAAAGAGCTCATCAATGACCTTATTGAAATGCATGTTTGTTTGCCCCTGGCTGCCAAATGATCAGGTCACCCTGTACCAATGCCCTCTCCATGTCATTATTTACCCTTCCTTTGGGCCTTGTGTCATTTGTGAAGTTTATCAGCAATACTCTGCTTTCTTCCAGGCCATTGATAAGGATTTAAAATATTTTGGAGTCTAGCATAAATCCCAAAATACGTCTTGCAGGAAGTTACATTATGAGGTGTTGATGAGATGGTTCCATGATGGTTCCATGATCATTCCATGCCTATATGAGACGCATATAGGCAGAGGTTACATAATTAAATATAATTTCTAATTATTTTTCAAAATGGAAAAACCCATTTTGTCTCACAAAGAGAAGTTTCTTATATCACTTTCACCTTTGCCATCGTAGCTTCTTACCTGGTTACAAAAATCTTCCTGGATGCTCTGGAAGAGGAATTGGACAGGATTGTTCCCCAGAAATCCTCAGAGACATGAAAACCTCAGACATGATTCTGTTTTTTCTGAGTATTTGCTAGTTGAGAGGTTGGTAAAATCAAAACTGGGTGTGGTGGTCTCTCAACTAGGGAGTTGTTAACCACTGTTAAGAGTCCTCCTGGTTTGTGTGGGTATGTGTTCCAGGGATGGGGAGAAATGTCTGATTTGGGGAATGGGACTGATTTTTGCAATTTTTACTAAATCTTTTTTTTTTTTCCTTACTTGATATTTTCCCAAGCCATTCAGCCAGGATATTGCATCCCCATTTTTACAAGCAAGCAAGCAAAAAAGATATAGCTGCTGGGGGAGACCAAATAATTGAAATTTCAGAAACAGGAGTTTGCAAAGCAGTTTTTTTTGTGTTCCTGTAAAAACTCGTGGCTGTTACAGCAAGCATGGGACCTTGGGACAACAACATCTTGCAGGTGTGTGATTTTAATCAGCGCTAATGCCTCACACCCCACAAGGTGTGGAGAAGGCTGCGTTGCTGTGGTTTGGGCTGAGCCGGACTGCAGGTGGTCACGTGGCTGAGTGGGAGAGGGTGAGGTGTGCTGCCTGGTGCTGGGGAAGCCAGTGGGTGTGAGGTATGACTGGATATTGGGAAGCATTTCTTTGCAGAAGGGGCTGTTGGGCGTTGGAATGGGCTGCCCAGGGCAGGGGGGGAGTCCCCATCCCTGGAGGGGTTGAAGAGTCGGGCTGACCCAGCGCTGAGGGATCTGGTGGAGTTGGGAACGGTCAGGGTGAGGTTCGTGGTTGGGCTGGGGGAGCTTCAAGGGCTTTTCCAAACGACATGATTCTGGGCGTCGACAGGCGGCCTCCCGGAGGCGGCGGGAAACTACAACTCCCATCGGGCACAGCGCCGGCGGAAAAACTCCATCCCCCAGGGTGCCCCGCGCGGCGGAGGGGGCGGGGCCGTGAAAGCAGTGATC